GGAGCTAAAGGTCAGTGCTAAACCCTATCTGTTGCTCTCAATTTGTTTCAGTCCTACATATAGGCAGAAAGTTCCATGAGGAAATGATGGGAAGATTTTAATTGAGCTGGTGTTCTCTTTGGTATTGGAAGAGAAAAATAGAGCTTAGCACACATAATAAATGAAGCCCAAAAGGACAGATGAAAGAAAAATCTTTCTGCAATAGCTGTGTCTTTCCAGTTTTCCACAGTTACTTCTTTTAAAAAAAGCATTTCAGAAAGAATCGAGTTAGACTTGAGGAGAAATATTTTAATTGTAAAGTGTAGTTAGGTTCCATAGCAGGAGAGACTTCTTCACCAGCTGAGGTCTTTAAGACAAAGACCTTGTTCAGGTCAAGTTAACCCTTGAGGTGAAAACATGAGCAAGTTGCCCTCTTAGTGTCTCCTCTAACCATATGCTTTCAAGTCTGGCTGATAATTTTGTTGTTTTTTAAATTGTGCTGTGGGTCAAAGTGTGAAAGAAATTTAAGAGACAGGGGTGTGTAAGAAAAGACAAGGTCTTCCTTAATTTGCATATGAAGCAAGAAAAGGAATAGGCATTCAAGTATCTGGGTAGCTTTTAAAAGCTCAGCTGGTAAATAAAATAGTAATTCCAGAGTCAGCTGTATGTGCCTGTTCAGACATAGATTCGATAACACCTGCAACTGCACAAAACCACTGAGGAGAAAAATTCTCTAAAGAGAAATGCAAGCAGTATCATCCATATGCCAACCTTTTCCCAGAAACTAAAACTCACAGTTAGCTGATACGCAGTATTATTTCTTGGGATGCAGACTGAGGACCAATTTCAGGCTCTCAGAGCACTGTGGGAGGAAGAGGTGTTTCCTGAGTGAAAGAAGAACAGCGTTACCAGTTGTCCACAGTGAAAGCAACCAGCCATGAACAGCTACTAGCACCATGGGTGGTGCACAGCGGTGTTGCGGAGTGCCTGTATGCATACCTCCAAATGTCAATCACCCACGTGCAGCCACAGCAGAGCAGACTTGGTTGACATGCTACCAGCCATGAAAAGTGCTGTCTAGACTGGTCCATCCAGGACATGCTGTGCCATTACAAAATTCCTAACTATAATAACCTTAGCAGCATACAATTGTGGTAAATATTAGTTGCATGATGTTATGGTTATTGTGTTATGGTTAACCCAACCTGCTAAGGTCAGCAAGACCACTCCAGATAAATCACTGGTTGTTCTTAATGTGTCCGTTCCAAATCAGATCCAAAGATAACCACTCACTTGTACCTTGGTTACAGCTGTGTTCCTAGAGAGTCAGTTCCACAACTGACCCAGAGATAAGCAGCTACTTCTGCATCTCTCTTAACTGTGATGTTATGGCTTTATTCATTCTGTGGCCTAGGTATTTGGTAGACAGATATGTTCATTTTTAGTAAGCAGTGCTTAGCTTGTCATAAGAAACGGTAATTGTGTTTGTGGTGGGTTGACTTTTTAGCTGCAGGTCTACCTTGGCTCAACAGTCCCTTATTCCTTGACACTCTTACTGCCATTAGAGTTAGATTGAATTTCCAGCATGTCTCTTGTCCATGCACTTACTTTGGCTTCTTGTGGAAAGAAGAAGGAATAGGGAAAGGAAAGAGATGGGGAGGAAGTTGATGGCAGCATTGTCAGTCCGATCTTTTCTTGACATGCCATAGTGAGCATGGGGTAAGCCAAAGGCCGTTGTATTTTTCCCCTACTCATTCCACCTGATGACTAAGGATTCCAGCACACCAGTATTTCATGAACTTCTGACCCAGTGAAAACAATCCTTATGCGACAGTGTGGTAATGACTTTAGGATCAGCAAAAAAGTTCATGTACTTAAAATGTTTCAGTATCTTGCTGGGTTAGGTCCATAATTCGACATTATTAACTATATGGTGGCATGAGTGAAGGCCAAGCAGATAATAATAAAAATACACCTTTTGATATTAAATTTTGTGGGGTTGGACATTGAAAAAATGAAATTGTTCTCATCCTTCAAATTTTATCATTAGTTTTAGTTATATTTTTTAAATTATTTGTTGACTTCATCTAAAAGATTTCATGTCAATACACTAAGATGCTTTTTAAAAATTTTGCTCATATTAGAATTTCCCTTTCTTTAATTTGAATTCCTCTAAAACAATTTCAGACCTGAAAAATGCTGTTTTATTCACCTATGAATCATCACAGCATTACATTTTGATTAATTTAAAGCATTACAAAATACCAGCAAGTTTAAATGATGGCACTGAATACTCAAAACTGAACCATTCTTATAAAAATTGCTTTTGATGCAATGTCCTCTTTCTCCAAGAGAAGAATGTTTTTGTCCAAAATAAATTTGTATTTGGGTGTTACATGTGTACTAGGGAGAAACGACTTGTTTCTACTTGTTGGAGTATCACTACAAGTAGGATACAAGAAAAAATAATTTTCGTACTTGGCACTTTTGCCTGTAAGCTAGAAGAATAGAATCTGGCCCTTTTACACCTGGAAAGAAAAAGCTCCGGGCCATTATTGCCCCCTTCTGCAGGTGCCCTGTAAGACTGGCCATACCTTGTAAGAGCTAAGGCCTTTCCAGCACTGTGCAATCCTCTGAAGGCAATCAGTAGAGGCTTCCTAAGGAGATTTGTCAGCATAAGATGACAAGTACAGTGCTAATTCCTTCATATAATTTTCGAGCTTCCCTCTGTCCTAGCACACAGCAGCGCTTGACTGGTTGTTTTTCTTCCACGGTTCCCTGTGGCCTGGATGTTTGCTCAACAAGTTAATGAGCTAGAGAATCAGCTTGCCATGAGCTGATACTTGTTTTGAGATGGAAGATTTGAAAGCATGCAGGAGACCTGTGCGTTACTGTGATTTCTATTGTGTCCACTACTGCTCCACTCCTCTAGCTGGCAAAGGAAGATCAGTTCTGTAGAGAAGTTACACTGGGAATCACCTAGAGGCAACTACCTGTGACTTGAGATGGAGAGTGAGTATCAGCCAGCTATACAGACCGTTCACAACTGAGCAGTGCGTCTCATTCCTCGTGCAGTGGTTTCTGGTCCTACATTGGGTCTTCTTCGTGGTGTTCAACCCTGTAACTACAAGTTGATCAGATGCTTGCTTTGCCTCAGATGTGAATGGAGACATCATTTGTCATCTCTGCCGTGAAATGTGGTGTGGCTGGCACCCACTAGGTATAAAAATCATAAGACAAATGTTCTTAATGAACATTTTGACTTGGAAAAACTGATGTAGAGAACTAGAAGGTTTTGAAGTCATCCTAAATCGTAATGGTGTTGGAGAAAGGAAGCAAAACATTGCCTTTGCTCAGAAATGTTTGGGCGTTTCTTGTCAAACCCAAGAGCCCTTTGAAATCAGAAAGTCAGAACAGCAGCAATGCATTTGTTGCTTTGGTAAACAGTTTGGTCTATTCTTAATGGAAAAAATGAAAGAGAAAATAATGAAAAAAGCATCTGCTTCATGTCTCCTCAACAGTACTATACTATTGATACTAGAAAATACTGAGTACTTTGTACCAACATAATTCTTTGATGTTTTTGAAATCATATACAATTTTCTTTTCAAAGTTCTTTTCAAGCTTATTCATGCAAAATATTTTGCCAGCCTTTGCATGGGTTTAGATTAGTTACTTTATGGTTCTGATGTTCTGAGAGCAATCTTAATTCCATTTGGAGCTTTAATTAAAATTCAGGTATAAATAAAGGAATGGCTTTTACAGAGCAATAGTTTTGAAGCTGACAGGTGCTACAGCAAACCCGAATGCCTTTCCTCTTCCTCACAAAGGCCAAAAGCCTCTCTAATGTAACTGAAGTGAAATGATTGTAAGTAATAAAGAGGGTATCCTTGCTGGTATCCTTGTTGCTGTATGTTTGAATGTGACACTTTGAGTTGATTTTTTTTTACCATGTATCACTATAATCTTCAAAACTTTGGTGCAAACACTTATGGAAATAGCAGCAAAACCTGAGAATTACTTAAAAGTATGAAGGCTGAGGAGTGATGAGTTTCAGTGGTGCAGAAATTGTTTACTTTGGTTATGACCTCAAACTAGGAGTTGCAAAGAAAGTCCTAGTCACTGGGGGAACTGAGATCCTACAGCACATCTCTCTCGTGTCTGTTTCATCCAGGCATATCTTTACTCCTCTACTAAATCTATCATTTTGAATATGAAAATAGTAAAATGAGATTCTAGCTACTCATGCAAAGTCTTAGTGGCATGTCTTTAATTTTCAGTGGGAGTACAAAATTTCAGGTATCGATTCTACTCACAGGCTTAGGGGTGTTTCTCTTCAGACAGTAGCTGCACTTCCAGCAGTGCAGAGTTCAGTGTGCAAATACAGACAGAGTTTTTTATGAAGGTTTTTTTTCACAAAGAGGTCTTTCTGTTCCATTTATACCAAAAGAATGGATGAGGTTGTGTAGGGTATCTCCCACATGAGAATATCTAATACTGTGTCATTTTCACTACAGTTTGCCTGTCTGTCCCGTCCTGTTTGCTTTCTTTTGCTGATAACAATTTTTTTTCTGAAGTTTTGCCACATCCATAAACCTTTACTATAAAATGTTGCAGATGGAATTTCAAAATCATTGTGGATGATGGACTTGAGCATCAGACTTGTTAACAGAAAAGAGGAGGATCAACCCAGTAGAATACCACTCCAAAATTTTACTGACACAGAGTTTGTATTGTCTTTGCTAGGCTCATGGCTGTATAGTCCCAAATTCTCTCTCGTGCTTTTTTCTGAGTGATCTTTGCATCTGGCCATCTTTTCTTGTGAGAACTGTCCGTCCACTGGGCTGTACTTAGGGGCAAGTTGTTGGAATGGATAATTTGGGTGTCTGTGTAGAAGAGCAAAAGCAGAATATAAACAGTGATGTTCATATTGCAGAATATGAGGCACCAATACGTAATGGCTGGCTTCATCAGTTGTCCTGTTTGGTGGGTGACTGACAATGTGTTATCTCTCCCTGCAGTATGGGATAAAGAAGAAGGAAGAAAAGGAAGCAGAGGCCCAGGCCGCACTGGAAGCTAATGCTGAAGGGAGTCTGACACGCCCAAAGAAGGCGATCCCTCCTGGCTGTGGGGATGAGGAGGAGGAGGAAGAAGAGAGCATTCTAGACACAGTCATCAAATACCTACCAGGGCCCCTGCAGGACATGTTCAAGAAGTAATAGCTGCAGACTGTTAGATGGGCATGAACAGTACTGCAAAGGATTTCTCTTTTGCCCAATGGGGATTTACAATCTTGCCATCCACCACGCAGCCCTCCCCACCTCTCCCCTCTACTGCTCACTAGGAGTCCCTTCGCTTCCCATTCCCTTCTGACTGCCTCGTTCCCTTCCCTCTGCCCCAAGACTCGTCCATTCCTTTTTTGTACATAGTCACATCCAGTAGATGCCTCTGAATGGATGTAAAGATTAAAAAGCTGCAGACTACACAACTTTTATTATAAGCCATAGTATTATGTGTGTTAAATAAGGCAACTGTACGTTAAGCATAGAAAAGGAACAGCCTCACATGCATTTCCATCCAAAGCAGGAAGGAGTGTTCACTAAGCGTGGACAGTGGCCTCTTTAATTTTATTTAATTCTCTTTTATTATTATTGATAATAATTATTAGTCATTATTTTTAATGTTCTTGTTGATTGGCTCACAGTAGCCATTTGCTGTTGAGCACATCTGCCTTTGGAAGGGATATCTCATGGAAGCAGAGCTTTTCTGTTTTTCTCCATCACTGGCATAAATAGGAGATCGTGAGTTAGACACTCAGAACTGTGAAATAAGAAAGTCATCTGCCCTCAGATGCTGGTAGAAGTTAAATGCCTCAGAATCTAAGCAAGAGTCATGTTACTTTGGGAATTAGCCATACACTTTACTTGAAAGAGTAGATTTGGTCAGACAGTTGCCATACAGAGAGCTGAAACCACAGGACAGTGTATGGTGCTCTGGTAGAGGACCTCTCCAACCCCTTTGAAGCCAATTGCCAAGTGCATAGGCTGAACTGATTAACTAACCTTCTTTTTTCTGCCCAGTGCCATATTCAACTGTCCCATTCCCAGCAGTGCTTGCAGGATGGACATTTGGTTTCCACTATATTGTTGTGGCTGTGTCCTGCCCATCTCTTCCTGCAGTGTGTGGGAGAGTGTGGTAACTTGAATGTTAGCCATATCCATGGAGATCCAGAAATCCTCAGTATACCTGCTATCTATCATGCTAAATTACTGTATTGCCCTGGGGAGGTCACTTATTTTTTCTGCCCCACCCAGCTTCTCTAGCTGTAAAATGTAGGTTTCAGTCTCTGCCTACTGTAAAGGTGTAAAGTGAGGATGCTTCTCCAGTGGTGTGCAGGAGCTAATTAATAATATAACAGTGTGTGGCATCCCCTGATGCTTGTAGGGTGGGAGGAAATCTCTCTCACAATTAGCTTTGTTGCCTTTCCCAGACACAGATACAGAGGGCTTCTCAATACAGCACTGTAGGTATTGAGTAACTGCATAAAATAAGCCAGATTCTACTGGAAATACTGTCTTTCTATTACATACACAGACTCACATACACAGACAGACTTATTTTGAACGCAGATCCTCATGATCAGGTGTCTGACTTGTCATCTGAAGAGCTAATCCTGGAGTTTTTGCATTTGGCTAGGTCTCTGTAGTCGTTGCTGTGAGAACTTCATGCCATCTCTGTCTCACAATCTCGTAAGAGACTCAGGGTTTGCCTGGCAGAAGTAGCATTGCTTGACCCTGTCATGGGAACAACAAAAATTTCCTAAGTACATGGAAGAGATTTGGAAGCAAATACGTGCTTTCTACTGACAAGAAAAAGGAAAGCAATCTGAGACACTTCGTGATGTACCTAAGTTAAACATTTTACTTCAATGGAACTTCTTTGATGCACTTGTTCAGTAGAACTGAGTTTAGGCAAATATCTCAGTACTTCCCCGAATAAGAAATTTTAAGATAGATTTATCATCTTTTCAGGTAAGCAGAAGAAATCTGCATCATGGTTAAGGCAGTGAGCTTGTGAACTCTGTGCCTTTTAGCAGCATATCTCATAATAAGGAAAATATATTATGAAAGAGAAGAAATACATTCATTTTTCCCTCCTCACCCAATTCTTATTCAAGTATGCTAGTCCTTGCCTCTCCACAAATAACTTCAACTGTAAGTTTCCACCAAAGCCAAGGTGGAGACTGACTGATCTACAAGTCAGAATGAGCTGACAAAGATGCAAGTATTTCAAACTGGATCTACAAACAAGACATATTCATTCAAATACAAGCTGCCAAGGGCTTCCTTGGAAAGAAAGAGAGGAAAGAAAAGACGGGTTTTACTCTTTCAGATAATGTCAGTGGATTTTTTGTCCTAACTTTCATTTAAAGCAAGGTGAGTGTCTCCCCTCCTAAGACTTTAATGGCTGAAAGCACCCTGTCTCTGAATTAAAGCCTGGGTATGACATAGAAGTGTTAACCAATTTATCGTTTTCCTCCTCACCCCATGCAAATTCAGCTCTTAGTAATTTTAAGTCTATTTAAGTAAACCTCAAAAAACTGAAAACTTTCCTTCTGTCATAAAGGCAGCAGCTATTTTTGATGCTCTGCCATAGAGGGAACTAAATCCAGCACCCCTGAAAGCTAAAAGGCAGAGGCTGCCTCTTTGCTTCAGCCAGTCATTGGTAATGAAATCTTCTAGCCCAGATCAAACTGACACACCAACATCGATACTTCTGAAATGCTCTGACTAATCTCTGGCCTGTGTCCTCTCTAATACGTAAGTAGAACCAGCAGAAATGTGCCCCTCCTAGAAGGAACACATCCATTCATATTTTTGCCTGTTCTTGTGCTGAAGAACTCTGCAAATAGAAATACGAATAAAGAGGATTAGGTCATTCTGCTTTCCTTTGGCCTTTCTCTACCATTTGCTTGTTGACTTTTTCCTAGCCCCCACCATATGCTCACTTCCTCATCCGGCCAAATACTGTTCCTGACATAGAATCAGAAATTTCTGCCTGGTGTCCTCCTTGCAGAATGGTACAGCCAAATGTTTATTTGTTTTCACAGTCTCCCTGGCAGCTTGATGTGCATGCGTGTGCACGTATGTGTGGAAGGTGAGGAAAAGGAAGCAGAAAGGGAAAAGAGAGAGAAGGGAAAGGTGTTTGGTATTTTTTCTTTCTGACTGTGCCTCCAGCATCTGTGCCATTGAATGACTGGTCTAAGTCAGGATCTTGTGTGTCCTGTCCTCAAATTTCATAAGCAGCTAGTGCTATCCCTGAGCTCAGAGCATTAAAAATGCTGCTTCTGTGAGCTGAGCTCCGGACCTGTCTGAACAGCTGGATCCAAACTCTGAAAGAGCCTTAAGAACTTTGTGCTGAGTTTGTTAGGTCTCATGCCAGACTCGCAGAGTAGGAAGGATTTATCAAATATCGTTTGCCAAGTCATTGTGGGAGCTTCCCAGCCCAATCATGTCACCACTTCTGTACCTCAGCTCCCCACACCCGCAGCAGCCCTTCCTCCCTGGACACGAGAGATTTCAGCCAGGTGTGAGCTGATAGTTCCCATTTTAATTTTCCTTTTTGTTCAATAAAGAAACACAGCAGAACTTCTTCCACAGGTACTGGACAAGTCATTCCATTGTCTCCGAAGTGCCTAAGCCATGCTGAACAGACTTGAGAGCAGGCACTCTTCCCTCCCTTCCCTTCATCCATTTCCTTTTCCACTCTGAACTGGCAACATGGGACACAGGCACCTTTGGCTCATGTATGGATGTGAGAAGCATTGTCTCAGACACTTTCCCCCTCAGCACTCTAGCAGGTGTTGAAGCACTTAAACAAGACCAAAGAGAAGTGAGAAGCATGGTTCATTGTTTGGATTCTGAATATCTCTTTGTCTTTTCATGCCATTGTTTTATTTGCATCACTTGTCTGTTAAATCTCAGGTAAATGAGGTCTTTTGGGTTTTTTTTAACTAGTTTTTATTTACACAGAAAGGTTGGTGGCTTGATACTGCAGCCATTTTCCTTCACAGCTCCAAGACCTTACTGGTTAGTTAAAAGAAGAAGTCAAAGGGCCTCCAAATTTGGAGGGTAAATTATTTAATTTGCCATTGACCTTGTGAACTCACATTTATCTTTAGAGAAAGCCATATGAAATCAGACTGCAATATTAATTATGAATGCTACTCTTGTGTTTAAAATAAATAAAACTAAATACAAGATCATGTGCTAAATCACTTTGGAGTTCCTCTGTCTATGTTCCTAGTACCATACATTGGCTTAGGTCCCTCCCAGCCCCTCTCCTTTGTCAAGAAAGACCATACCAATGCTGCTGAAGACATCTTTTTGCCAGGCTTACTGTGCTAGAATAAGCATTGTTAGAAATTAGCTGTTGTGACCTCAACGTAATGTCTTATGTATCTGAAAGTTGTCTGTATCTGTTCTGCATATATGTTATCAAGATAACTATTTCTTCATGTGCTGGGTTAGTAAAATGTTTCAGTATTGTCATTAAAAAAAGCTTGTTTTACCTCTTTCTCTCTCTCACACACACAGAGCAAAATTCAACGTAGCCATTCATTTTCTAGTCGAAATGCTCCTCAGCTTTCTTTCAGATGCATGCAGTACTCTCCAAGCAGCTAGAAGATGATTTAAAATAGAGACTTTGTGAATGTGAATTTCATTTGTTATTTGCCTGCTAATTTTTCCTGCATGATGTGGATAAATGATACGATGTTCTTTTAAAATGGAATCACAGCCAATAAAAAAAAATAGTGATTTCATACATTTTTTGCAATGCTTTCCTGTGAAATTCCTACCAGGCTACACTTGGAAATCAAAGTATGGATGCTGGTACACATGAAGAAAGATGGATTTTATTTGAATGGGTATGTTAATTTTTGCATTTGTCAAAACCACTGATGAGTTTTGACATCTACAGGTGATTATCAAATTTTAATTAAGTTCTGCTATTAGGAGTTAGTTTTCCTGAGGAAGAGCAGAAAAAACATACCTTTGAAAGAAACATAGACATATAACTATGGTTTAGTGAGAATATGTTTGGATCTTAAACCCAATAAAGGTAAAAAGCTGGTTGGCAATGACATCAAATATATCTCTGGATCCAGAATTTGTCATGTATAGAAAACATTTTCAGTGGCAGGTTGCACACAGCCTCA